CCAGGAGGTGATGGGACCAGTGGCCATGATCTTAGTTTTTTTGATGTTGAGTTTCAGACCGTTTTTTGCACTCTCCTCTTTCACCCTCATTACAAGGTTCTTTAGTTCCTCCTCACTTTCCGCCATCAGAGTGGTATCATCTGCATATCGGAGGTTGTTGATATTTCTTCCTGCAATCTTAATTCCAGCTTGGGATTCCTCCAGTCCAGCCTTCCGCATGATGTATTCTGCATATAAGTTAAATAAGCAGGGTGACAATATACAGCCTTGTCGTACTCCTTTCCCAATTTTGAACCAATCCGTTGTTCCATATCCAGTTCTAACTGTTGCTTCCTGTCCCACATATAGGTTTCTCAGGAGATGGATAAGGTGGTCAGGCACGCCCATTTCTTTTAGGACTAAGCAAGTATATTATGTGTCTTGTTGGACAGACACAGGAAGCCAGTGAGCCCTGGTACCATTCAGAGAGGGCTGGAGTTGGGTACCCAAACACTATGGCCATCCCATAACAATAAACGAGACTCGCTCCTTCCTTTCCACCACTGCTCCTCACATTTGCCTGTCCTGGAGATTCAGGGGAGCCCAGCCATTTCCTGGCACAGCAACTCATTCTCTGACACCTGGCAAGCCTCATCTTCATCATCAACATCATGAGCACTCCATGGACTTGCAGAGTACAAGTGGGGAGAAAATATGCCACTTCAAAGAAGCTTCCACTCCAACCTCTCACACCAGTGCCACAAGGGAGGAAATGGAAATGGGCGATGATTTGGAGATGAGCATACATTCAAATTTGTGTGGATCCATGCCATGGATACACTGGTACTGCAAAATCTGCTGCTTGAGGGCAGTGGCTGCCTCTGAGTGCCTAGTGAAGTGATGGTGAACCTTTTTTGAGCCTGATTGCCCAAATTGCAAAACAAAATTAACTTATTTATTTCAAAGTGCCAACACTGCAATTAAAACCCAAATGCTGAAGTTTTAGTTTAGAAAAAAAACAACTGCTCCTGTACTGCAAGGGTTAAATGTGTGTGCCCCCCCCCGCGGTATTAACAAATAAATACTTACTGCTCCTCCAATCCCCCATTGGGCTAGACCAGTAATGGTTGCCATTGCACCCCTCTGCTGGACCACTACACCAGCAGAGGGAAGTGCCGAAATCCGGGATCAGAGGACGGGTAAGTATTTATGGTGACTTATGGCTCATGTGCCCACAGAGAGGGCTGGGCTATGTGTGCCAGCTGTGGCACGCATGCTATAGGTTCGCCATCACTGAAACTTGTCAGTGAAGGAACTTGAAAGGATCCTCAAGTGTAAGGATGTATCACAGGAGAGCAAAGCCAAGATAAGTCATACATACTATCATACTCTAAATTCCTACATACAAATATGAAAGCTGGACATTGAAGAAAGATTACAGCAAAAAGTGTTTTGAAATATTGTTCTGAAAGAGAACTTTATATACCATGAACTACCGGAAACACAAACAAACGGGTACTAGATCAGATCAACCCTCTAGAAGCAAAAATGATGAAATTGAGGTTGCTGTATTTTGGGCATATTATGAGAACACATAAATCATTGCAAAATACAGTGACATTGGGAATATTAGAAGGAAGCAGGAACAATTTTTAAAAAAATAATCTGAAATTTTGAATGTGAGCTTTCGTGGACAAATCCACTTCAAGTGTACTTGCCCACAAAATCTCACATTAAATATATATATATAAGTTAGTCTTTAAGATGCCACCATGTTTCTGTCTTCTTTTAACTTTTTGATTTTATTTTGTTTTCACCTATAATTCTTAATTGTGTTTTTTTTATAAATAATGGATCTGAACTTCTGCAGCATTATCTGAAACACATCGGTGTCTGCATAGCAGTACCTCTCACAAAATACAATGGGGTATACTTTCTAGTATGAATGCTTAGTGCTGCAAACTAAGATGAAAATTAATTTACATCCTCAGACATCAGATGGCTACCTGATGGACATCCTGTTTTGAAAATCTCCATATAAGACTTTGAATCAGTTCCGTAAATAGTCCCATAGGTTGTAAAATATTTTAAGCTATACGTGTGTACATTTTCCAAAGTGACATTTATCAAATGTAGGATGGTTAGGTGGCACACCCAAGGGGAAGGGTACAATTTTTTTCAGCTGTGTAAAAAGTGATTAGAATCACACTAGTCCTAAAGCTCCAGTTTCATAGTAAAGGGAAAGTTAATGATGATGCATTCAGTTGAAGGGTTACATCAGTAGTGGATATTTGGGAGGCTGTTGAAATGTTTTGATATCCTCATCAAAGTAGTAATGCTTGGATTGCCACAACTGCATAGAAAGACCCTGTGAACTTGACTGGCTCTCAGGAAGGTGAAACACTGACACAGATCCTCATGGTGATATTATTGAATATACTGATTATATTTTAAACATTAGCTGAAACCCAATGCTTAGGCATAACTAGAGTAGACCCATTGAATCAGTGGCTATTGGGTGAGTCAGCACTTTTTAAAGTTCCATTGATTCAATGGAACCTGATTTGCTACTGGATTTCAGCCATTATACTGTAAAGGATTTTGAAAGAACAAAAGAAAGTTGGAAGAATTAACATTAATTGTTAGGATTGCTTATGCCATTTAATGTTTTGGAAAATCTGAAGTAACCGGAGTAGACCCCTGAGGCCAAGAATCTTAAGGTGGTTTTACATAAGGATACATTAGAAGTCTAGGATATCAATGGGAAATTGTGAAAAGCATAATACTGTATGATTTTCTCAATTTGTTTAAAGCCCTTTAATGTCTTTAAATAAATGAAAATTGTTCACTCGAATTCTAGCCTAGTGACTCTGAATTTTTACACCACTGAATGACAGCACAGGTTTGCTGTTCATTAAATGAGAATGGCATCTGGATCCTTTCACATGTACCTTTGCAAAAGTACAGAGACGCATGTGTAAAAACTCACTTCCTTGACTGTGAGTATCATCAGTTCCTGAAATCCACACAAAACCTTCAGCTGTGAGAGCAGACTGCAAAACTTCTAAAATACAAAGATGTCAGGGAGTGATTTTCTTGCATAAATCACATTAAGTGTATAAAATTGTACTGAAAATTACAGTCTCATCAAAAGGTGTGTGTAAAACAGCACTAGGACAAGGGTCTACCAGCAACAATATTCATTTAATTTTTAAAACCTTTCTGTCAATGAATCTATAATTGGCCCTCAGTTTACTCATACAAAAAATGGGACTAGTATCTGCATTATTGTGCTGCATTGCTAAAGCATCAAGACAAACTTTTGAATGTAATTTAGTGGCATTTTTTGTGTATTTCAGATCAACTGAAAGTTTAATTACCAGATAGTATGAGGGAGTAATGTTAAATTATTCCTTATTATTTTTCCTGCCTTTAACAACAGCGACTAGATCGGTACACGGCATGCTTTTAGAACCCTTTATATAGGCTGTAGGAGTGCTCATTTGAACGTTGGAATGGCTGCGCAGCTAAGGCAATGAATCTCCTTTTGCCTATGCTGAGAGTACTACGATTGCCTAGGAACCGCTCTCTTCATACACGGCACTACAGCACTAGTTTCAGCCTCAGAGCTGTACATCCCTCAGCCATCTCCCTTCCACTCAGTTTTATATTTGCGCGCCCTTTCAATCCCCAGTGACGTGTCTCCCGTCGCGCCCAATCAACAGCCTTCTCTGGTCAGGACAATGGAAAGTGTTCCTCCAACCGCCTTAGCGCCTTCCTCGGCGGTAGCCAATGGGAAGAGGGCTGTGTTGAGAGTAATGTTACCAGTGCCGAGAGAGTGAGGAGGCTGCGTATCGATCCCGCTCACAGCCATTGCAGTGCATTGGACTACATACGAGATCCAGGCAGCTTTGGGCGGCCAGGGCGAGTGTGTTTTTTTGTGACTTGTGTGAACTGAGATTCTTGAGTGCAGTAGAGTGTGACACAAGGTGAGTATTGGTGCGGGGTCGTCGGCCCCGTGGCCGACTTTGGAGGCCGAAGCTCCGATGGCCGGGAAAAGGGGGGTGGGTGGAAGGACGGTGTGTAAAGCTTGGGGTGCGAGGGGCAGGATCCGCTCCTCAGGCACACAAAGCGGGAGAGAGGGGGTGGATTAGGCTGAGACTGAAGGCACACTTTTCCTCACCGCCTCGGACGCCGTGACGGGAAGGTGTATTTTAAAACCCTTCACCAAGTGGGGAGTTTGTCAAGTGAGCGAAGGGAACCATCAATGCCGGAGGGGGGGGAACCCTCTTTTCTTGTTGTGAAAGACATGAAAAATCCAGACGGGGCATGGCTCTGAAAGCCCGTGTAAACGAGGGCGGGGGTCGATCCGGTTCGGCCCGGCCGCCGGGGCTGGTAGATAAAGCGGACGGCGAGTGCTTTCCTAAGCTGCTTACATAGCAATTGCCGTTGCCGCAGCCGAGCCCTCCTGCTCTGTGAGGGAAGGCTGCCGCCGAGCGCGGAGGGAAGTCGGGACCCTTCAAGGCGGGCGCCGAGGCTCAGGCTGGAGATTTAAAAAAAGGGGGGGCTGAGGCCCGGGGGGGCCCTTCCTGGTGTGCCTGTGGTGGTGGTTGCGGGGGTGGGGAAGAAGAGCCCCGCGATGCCGAATTGCGGGAGTGTCTCTGGGCGTTGTTGGCCTCGGGGCGATAAATCACCTCGGGAGCTGCGCTGACTGTAACATGGCTGACGAGAGCTGTGTGGAGAGAGAGAGAGAAAACAAGGCGAGAGGAGGCTGGCTGGAGTGCAGGCGGGAGGGGGGGAAAGGAGGAGGCGCGGACTTGACGGGCGGGGGCGCAGTTGAGGGGAACTTTTTCGAGGCGCCTTTTCCTCCCTCGGCGAGAAAAGCGCCGGCGACCGTTTAAAAGTCCAGCGTAGGAGCGGCCGGCCGGCCGGTGGCCTCCTCGCGGATTTTAACTTGGCCGCGGAGGGCTTTGAAGGCACGACGGAAGGCGTTTGATAATTATTAATGTGGGGAGATTGGAAGGGGGCGCGCGTTTGCTCTGAGGGTCTTTTAATACCAGCGAGAGGGGCTCTTCTCCGCCTTTCTCACCCCCCCTCGCGCGACTGCCCTCCCTCCCCTCCGCTCGCGCGCGTTCCTCTGCCATTGCCTGTAATGGCTGAGTCTGTGCGCCAGAGCACAGAGCGCACTGACACACGCGCGCACTCCTCATGCACATACACGCGCACACACACAAACACACACACACAAAGGGAAGGCAGGAAGGAGCCATATTCTCTATGAGCAGCAGCGGCCATTCCGAGAAGCAGCGGCCCTCGGCTTCTTCTGCTGCAGAGCTCCTGCCAACGAGTGGCGGCGCGCTGGGGGTTGCCAGCTGAGGCGGCGGCGGCGGCTTGTGCTGTTTGCCGGGCGGGCGGGCGAAGCGAGGCTCGGTTTTCCGCGCCCTGGCTTCAAGCGCGGGCTTTCCGCCGCAGCGGAGCGCCCGCGAAGCGCATTTCAAGGGGACTTTCTCTCATCAGCAAGGCGTTTACACAAAATGGAAGGAGAATAGCTGCTGTCGAAGATGACCTTCTTAACGCAGAAGCCGTCGCCATTATAACATCTTCCCCCTGCTCCTAGGCTCATATTGAAACACGCGGAGCCTCGTAGCTGTACAATGGGAGCTATATTTATTATTGTCCTTGTAGGCGAATCGCATCAGAACAGCCTTTGTAGCCAGGGTAGCTGCGCTAAGAAGCTTATGCCAGGGCAGAGCCAGTTATTAGAGAGGGGTGTAATTTTCCTCAATAAGATAGGAAAACTGCTCCATAATCCACATTTTAGTAGTACGTTGCCCTTTTTAAAACACCTGCATTTTTTTTCACCAGAAAGTTTTTAAACACCCCAAAGCTGCGTATAATCAATACAGAGAAAAGTCGTAATAATTCCAAAGCAATTAATATGGTGTGAAGTATTTTACATAAAAAAATTAAAAAGTGCTTACAGTTTTCTTTAAAGTACACCTTGTAATGTGCAAATGGTTAAATGATGATACCAGCATTTAAAATAAAATATGTTTACAAAGTAAATATGTTTAACTAGGGGGATCTGAGCTAAATTAGGAACATGTATTTTCATGCTTTAAATGTATATGTTCATCAATATCTTTTGGAAATCTTGCTAGAAAGTTAGCTGGGTCAGCAACTCATCCTTAAATATGAGTCGCTTGCCTGACCCTCCAATTCCTGTTACAGGCAGAAGGAGCTCCTGGCTTTTTTGCTTAAGTGTTGTTTATGTGGCAGAAACATCAGACTAGGCATGTTTAGTCAAGAGGGCACAAATCTTTTTCTGCCAGCATACCAAAGTGGTAGGAAATATTGCTTTCTGTGGCAATAACAGCTATAACTGTAAATGTTTCCCCAATCAAGTTGTGCAAACTAAACTAGAGAAATATCATCTTAGGCAGTCAAGAAGCCTGGGTAAAACCTAGTCCATTCTGATATTTTTTCCTCTCAAAAGAGAATATCTTTGTGCTAATAGGAACAATTGGCTCTTTAATGCGTGAGAATATTTAATTTGATAAATTAGGATTGTAAGAAGAGCCCTGCTAGAATAGATCAAAACCCATCTAATCCACAGAGGCCAAATAGATGCTATTGGGAATTCAAGAGAAGGACTTGAGGGCAATTTCTCTCCCCTTGTAATTGCCCTGAATAACTTGGTACTCAATCATAGTGCTGCCCATTTATGGAGTTAGCATATAGTTATCATGGCATGTACTCATTGAAAACCATATTCTTCATGAATAATTTTATTCCCTTTTAAAGATATGGCAGTGAATTTCACAGTTTAACTGCATATTCTGGAAATAAATATTTATTTTTCTCCTTTACCACTGAGTTTCATTGAATGACCCCCAAAGTTCTAATATGAGACAGGCAGAAAAAACTCTCACTGGTTATTTTTTCAACCCTGCATGTCTTATAAACTTTTTTCATGGTCCTCCTGTTTTAGCTTTTGCCTAACTAGCAAGCCCTTTTCTTCTCAGTTTGATCCTTTTGGTTGCCTCTTCCTGCACTTTTTCCCATCTCTGTGATAACTCCTTTGGGAAGTGTTGACCAGAAAAGTATACTACATTTCCAAGTGTGGTCACATCACAAATTTGTATAAATGTGTTACGATATTGGCAGTTTAATTTTTATTCCTTTCCTAATGATTCCGATCATGGAATTTGCTCCCCCCCCCCCCCCAAAAAAAATTGGTCACAGTTAGCTCAGCATTTTCATCAAGATAGTGCCTACGTCCCATGTACTGCCACATCTCATTCTTGGTCAGTCACGACAAAGTAAAACCTAGTTAGTGTGATGCAACCAACTCAGACTCAATAATTGTGTGAAAGTAACATATCTTATTGGGTGAAATTTGGCAAAAAGTGCAATTGATAAATGAATAAAAATAGTTCCTCAGTATACATCACTTAATGTTTATTTACTTACATCGAACAGAAGGTGCCATTTTATCTATGCAGTTAGGAGAGGCTTCAGGAGTTATTTGCAGTCCCCTGTTGATTTTGCCACCATGAGTAATTTGGTGTCATCTATAAAGAAGGTCACCTCACTACCAACACTAACAGGTAATTTATGAACAAGTGAAACTGCACAGATTCCTGTGAAGATCTTTGGAGTCCTACACACTTCACATTTCTGCATTCTGTGAACTTAAAATGCATTCATAGTCTCCATCCTTTTGTTTTGGACATTGCATTTACTCATGAATACTTGTGATTAGTTAAACATTTTCTTAAAATACAAATATTGCAATGAGCATGGCCTGTCTAATTTCAGAAGACTAGTTGTACCGGAGATGGTTCACAAATCCCATGTTTTGAGAGCTTTTTAACTCAGCTAAGTTTGTCCTTTCTGTCTGTGTGGTTTAAACTGCCACATAGAGACTTCTATTTGTTTAGAGTCTGAAAAACTAGTGACTATACTCTTTACAATCTCCCCAGACCCCATGTTGTATAACTTGGGCTTTGATCAGCTGTATGAATGTAACCAGTTGTTAGAAGGTAGGCTAGTTTGAAAATTCAAGTAATATTTTGAATAGCTCCTTATTGTTCAAAAAGTAACCTATTAACAGAGGTTCTTGGGTCATGCACTTTTGTAGGTAGTAAGGTGTTTTGTTTGATCAGGACTAGCAACTTTAGTGGGTTTAGTTTTCAACCCCTAGGATACTCCAGGGGTGATGTGGACCATTAAAACTGGAAAACAGAGAAGCAGAAACTGCATGGCTACCTATCCACTTCCAGTTTTGAAGAATGAGTATGGGGTATTAAAATACTACAGGGGGCTTTGCATCATATTAAAAGGTGAGCCATTGCTTCTGGGGTCTTTCAGGAGTTGCCATTCACCCTTTTCTGTTTTTGCTAGGCAGAATCATATTTAGGTATGGGACAAGGCAATCTGATAGGCCTTGACACCACGAAAACAGTTGGAAGGATGATTGAACAGTTATGTTTCTGTGCACCTATCTTCTGATTATATTGGGTCCCATGTACATGCATAACATTGGTGAAAAATCTGTGGCCAATAGCTTAATTTGGTGTTGCCAATAGCTTAATTTTGTGTTGGGGTGAGTGGGGAACCAGGGGGAGAGAAGCAGTGCAAAAGGAACAGGGAAGTTGAAATAGATGGAGAATTGTAAGTGGAGAACTGTGATGGAGACAGCACCAGCCTTTCAAAGTGCTTGACTGTGATCCTTGGCCACTGTCAGCCTGTAACTTCTAAAAAATATATGTTATCTGGCTGAAAAAGAGGTTCCTGATTCTCTTCCCCTTCTTGTGCATGGGTTAGAACCACAGATCTAGTACTTGGGTTGCCTGTACAGTGATCACTGTAGTTTTCATTGTTGTGTTAATACAGTATTGGTAGCATCAGTCACTACAGGAGACCAGGAATGAGTGCATTTCCGCTACTAAAAAGGTGATTGGTAATATGTTGCTTATCTTCTGTTTAGGTAAATATGCACATATCCCTGAACATAAATCACATATGTTTAGTGCTGTGCACGGCTAGGATTATTGAGGCAGGTGAAGCTGAGTATCAGTAAAATTAAATGTTAGAACAATACGACAGTGGAATCACGTACCTTGGGAGGTGGTGAGCACTCACGATGCTGGAGGCATCCAAGAGAAAACTGGACAACCATGTGTCAGATCTGCTTTGATTTGGATTCTTGTACTGAGCAAGGGGTTGGACTCGATGGCCTTATAGCCACTTTCCAACTCAGTGATTCTATGGTCAACTAAAGAGTGTGTACTGTGTGCAGAGTTTAAAAGGATAAAGCAAATGATTATTCACAACATTTAGTGTTTTTTCCTTCTTCCTAATTCCTCCCCCCCCCATACACAGTATAGCTTTAATCTGGATCAGAACTTGCTGAATTTCATGGTATTTTAGGTGCATTTATGCATGTAGTGGGCAGAGGAGTTAGTTTTGCTATTCATTGAGTAAAACTAATGTTCTTATTTTTTTCTAATCATGCTGCTGGGTCTGTTCTCATTTTGGTAAATATTTTCAAGCATATAAATAGTAAAATCTCTTAATGTAGATATTGATATCTTCATTAGCATGTCCACTTAAATGCAAATACATGACAATTCCCAACATGTGAAAAGTCTTCCCGTTGTAAAAGAGGACTTTCCGCTCTACAGTCTGCTCTAGAGGGTCCAGTCCTCCAAAGATTTGGCAGGCAGGACTGCTGAGGTGAGAGGAGAAATCTGTTCCATTGGCTGATGGACACCCTTGGATTTCACCCTTTGATAATATAACTGGAAACTATTTGGAATCTTGCCTTTTAGTTTTAGGCCCATACAATATTTGAAGATCATCAGATGGCAATTTCACATTTGATACATATTGGCGATTAATGATAACATTATTCAGTTGTCTAAAACAGTAGATAGAAATCTTAACAAAATCATTCACAGCATTACATCAATCAATTTTTATTCACCCTCAATTTCTGCTCACCAAACAACTGAGTCTATTGCACAATATAGCAGCCTAAATTACTTCTCCAAGATTTCTATTATATCTTTCAGAATCAAAAATGGGCAAAGGTGATCCTAAAAAGCCAAGAGGTAAAATGTCCTCATATGCCTACTTTGTGCAAACCTGCCGGGAAGAACACAAGAAGAAGCATCCAGATGCATCTGTGAACTTTTCAGAGTTCTCAAAAAAATGTTCAGAAAGGTGGAAGGTAAGGATTTTGTTTTTCAAAATAAGGGTACAGGAAATATATAAATGAAAATTGTAGCTAGTTATTTGGCTGAGAAACAGAAAACATTCAATTGTCACATATACAGTTCCTGCATGTAGTTGGGTGCAGTCTTGAACTGAGTACTGAATTATTTTTACAGACTATGTCTGCTAAGGAAAAAGGAAAGTTTGAAGAGATGGCACGGGCTGACAAGGTTCGTTATGAAAGAGAAATGAAAAATTACATACCACCCAAAGGAGAGTCAAAAAAGAAGTTCAAGGACCCAAATGCACCAAAGAGGCCTCCGTGAGTAATTTTGGTTAGCATAAACTGTAAAGCAGCACTGTGGTAATTTGCTCTTTAAAAATTACCAGTGAGATGTAACAACTGACTTAGTATTTTCATTGCAATTTCTTTGTATCAGTCTACTTGGATAGAAAGTACATCATGAGTAGTGCTTAAAGTTCCCAGTTTGCTATGCATACAAGTCAATTAGTTTAACCTTTGTTTTCTATGTTTGTAATTTAATTTTCAGTTCAGCATTTTTCTTGTTCTGCTCTGAATATCGTCCAAAAATCAAAGGAGAAAGTCCTGGTCTTTCTATTGGAGATGTTGCAAAGAAACTTGGAGAGATGTGGAATAATACTTCTGCAGATGATAAGCAGCCTTTTGAAAAAAAGGCTGCTAAACTGAAAGAGAAATACGAAAAGGTAAGCTTAAAAATGTAATATTACAATGTAAGAGCATTGGCCCATATGTGTATACAGTACTTGTGTTTTCTTGAGGTTATTATATTTTAACTAATATTTCTCAAGTTTCAAAGCCCCTAAAATGAAATACTCCATTCCTCCTTCCATGGGAACATATTTCCAAGTAAATATGTTTGGAAGTCATGGTGTTGAAAAGATCCAGTGGTAGTATTAATTTGTATTGATGTGTAAAAGAGGTGTGTGTTTGTATGTGTCTGTAAGTGTAGCTTACTAAATGTAAATGCTATTAATGTGCTACTAATACTAATGTACCTAACTGGCTTTATTTCCAAATACAGTAGTGCTTCGCTTAACGATTACCTTGTTAAACGACAAATCTGCTTGACAATGAGGTTTTTGCGATCTCAAAACGATGTTCTAATGGGTAAAATTGGCTTAACGATGATCGGTTCCCTGCTTCGGGAACTGATTTTTCACTTAACAATGGTCTGAAAACAGCTGATCAGCGGCTCTCAAAATGGCTGCCTGCTGTGCGAAATGGCTCCCCGCTGTTTTTAGGATGGATTTTTCGCAAAAGAGGCACCGGAAAATGGCCGCCCTATAGAGGATCTTTGCTGGACGATTAGGTATTTAGCCCATTGGAACGCATCGAGTGGTTTTCAATGCATTTCAATGGGTTTTTCCCCCTGCTTGATGACGATTTCTCTCTACAGCGATTTCGCTGGAACGGATTAACGTCGTCAAGCGAGGCACCACTGTAATTCGATTAGTTTAAATACTAAGCTGCATCTTTCAGCCATATCCTTATTTTGTTATAATGTATATGTTCAAAATTAAGTATGGAGATGTCTAGAATATTTTCTCTTAATAGAATGCAAACCACCCCCACCCCATTGTATCTGGCTACTGTTTAATATTTGAGAGTCACCTATTGAGTTTTCATGATTTTTATTTTGTATTTCTGTCTGTTTAAGAGTAAAATAATAGTGCCACTACAGCCTGTGAAGCTACCCTTAGTTGAGAATTATATAAGTAATGTAAGGATTAAACCAAACCATGGTATGGATACTCTGATCCCACATCTGATGCAAGAAAAGATCTATTAAAAACCACTACAGCATGACCAGTAGCACCACAATTATAAAGACTGTTTGAATAAAACTGACTGATTTTAAAAACCGGTCCAATTTAAAAGGCTGAATGTAATACATTTTAAGGTTATAATTTATTGAATGTTTCAGGAAGCTCAGAAAGATAGATTTATTTCATGCTGAAGGTGGCACTGTCTGCTTTTAAACTGAAGTGTGTGAAATCTGTTATCAGGCTATTGAGAAGAACTCTCTTAACTTGTTCTTAACTGAAGTGCAAAAGTACAAATATTAGATTATCAAATAAGCAAGTTATAGATTATGGGTTTGTCAAACAGGAACTGTTTGCATTTAATTGAAGGGGTTTTCACCTATCTTTAAAAGCGCTATAAACTGTGTAATTAAAATCCTTCAACATCTTTTGTTCTAAGGATATTGCTGCATATAGGGCTAAGGGGAAGCCTGAAGTAGCCAAAAAAGTAGCCCCAAAGCCAGAGAAAAGTAAGAAAAAGGAGGAGGAAGATGATGACGAGGATGAGGACGAGGAAGAAGAAGAAGAAGATGAGGAAGAGGAAGATGAGGAAGATGATGATGATGATGAATAAACCTCCTTTTAGATTATTATTTTTCTTGTCTATAAATGCATCTAACCCCCCTGTACACAACTCACTCCTTTTAAAGAGAAAAAAAGCATAAGGCTGTGTAAGATTTGTTTTTAAACTGTACAGTGTCTTTATTTTCTTGTATAGTAAATGCACTACCAAATGTGTCTTTTGGTAGCCCTGTTCTTTAGTGGTATCTCAGTGGCCACTAACCTTGCCTAGTACAGTGTGGGGGTTGTAAATTGGCATGGAAGTTCAAAGCAGGTTTCCTGTTGGTGCACAGCACAAATTAGTTATACATGGCTGGTGTAGTTCATTATTCATCTTCAGTTGTCTGCATCATAAAAATAATAGTTCTGTTTAACTAAATACCACTCTGTAATTGCAAAAAAAGTGTAGCTGATTGTTTCTGAGTAAATGCATTTTTTAAAAACTTAGTATTGTTGTCCCTTTAATAGGTGCCCTGTAAAGTTAATATTTTCCTTCTTTTTTTCCTGGAAAGCTCATCTTTTATGCTATGCCCTTTTGATATCACGTCAGAATTACAGTTCATTTAATAAGGAGGTACAATAACTTTTCATCTGTATGCCCTACACAATCATGATAGGGTAGGAAGTAAATATAGATAGGCATATGCAGTGCAGGTTTTTCTCATGTAACAGGTTATAATTTCTTTTTTAAAACCCTAAATACCTGTTCTTAACCAATCTGTATTTGCTCAGGTTTTTTTCTCCACAGTATTCCATAGAGTTGTATACATTTACCAGTTTTGGAGGGAGGACTGATATAGAATTTGATTTGATGACATGGAATAATTCTGGGGAGGATGGATGGGATAACTTCAAACAGATGTCCTTGGAGGACCACTTAAAGGGTGTATTCTCATTCTGATTTGTCACGAATTTGTATGTGTGACTTCATTGACTGGTAATGAGAATTGTATTCACAAATGCCTGAATACAAAGGTGACTGTAAGCCTACCTAAGCAGGTAATGATAAATGCTAAATTACTGTAATCCTTTAAGGATACCATGTCAAATGATACTTGCAGCTTTTATACCATGGACTTTCCTGGCAGTGTGATTGGCATGAAAATATTTTACTTTGCTAATGTTTTCTTTGAGTGGTACCATTTTTCAATCTATACATTCATGTTTTCATAAAAATGCTAGTTTTCACCCATTTTCAAAATTTTACACTGTCTCTAATTAAAACGAGATGAGATGTATCTTTTTGTTAGTATAATACATTCTTGATGTTTGCCCATTTTGTAAGTTAAAATAGCTGTAGGGGGAGAATACTTTTTTCATTTAGATGTGAGATGTAACATGGTATTCTAATGACCTCTGATTTGATAAAATATAGGTTGTGTTGAAAACCAAAGTTAAAGTTTTTGCATATTCAGTAAAAGTGCTGGCAGTTAAATATTTCATGTTTACCTGCAGACTAATTTGGAGATTGATTGGCAATTCTGTAGTTCTAAAATGATGGTTCTCAAGTGCCAGTGTTTAAAGATAGCATTCTTGTAATTTTACATACTTTTTTGATGGAGTATTGTTTTGTTATACAATTTTGACTTTTAAGATTCTTACTTCAATTTTGCATTTGTTTATGTATAACCTCAGGAGGATACTGAACATCTGATTTCCTGATTAATACTAATAAAGTAATAATTACAGAGGTTTTATATATTTAGTTCAGTGAGTTTACTTTAAATTTATATCTTTTTTTAGTCACAGGCTTGGATCCTAATATAGTTAACAGAAGGAACATTTCTTATTCCACCTTCCTACAGTTTCTTGCTTCCAAAGCCATTCCTGAGAATCAAGGAGTACTCTTGGTTGGACCGTCCACTCACCTTCTGCTGTTGCTGCGAGCTCCATGATCCTTTCATATTGCTCCAGAGCTCGCAGTCTGCAAGACACTCTTTGACCTTGCAGCAAGGTTCATCCTTCTGCCACGAGTGGCTTGCAGACCGCGGGCTCTGGAGCAATAGGAAAGGAGCTTGGAGCTCATGGCAACAGCAGAAGGTGAGTGGACAGTCTGGCCCCAGGGGGCTGGACCTTCGTTATGTCCACCTGTGCAGGGGTATTCAAATACAAATACCTCCATCTTTACTTTTAAAGCATTATGAAGTGTTGGTGAATCTCTTTAATTGAAAATTTATTTCTGTACTTCTCCTGAAATGTAATCACTCTAAAGTTAAGTTTCTCAGCCCTATGAAAGTAAACATGTAAACATGTCAAGTGCTTAAAATTAAAATATGAACAGTTAGACCCCTATGCAGTTGAGAGACCAATTCTCCCATAAGTTCCAAATACTCAAAATATTTGCAAGTGGGAACTGCACTGTGGTAAGAAAAATATTTTGGGGGCAAGAATGAATGACCTTATTGTCAATTTTTGAAATGTTTCAGGTCAGATTTGCCCTTTGAAAATGTCCGCACAGCATTCTGCATTTACTGCAGGACTGGCATGTGTATGCTGAGGCAAGAATTTATTGAAGAATTCTAGTAAACTTGCTTTCCAGAGTCTGTTTTGAGCCAAGTTATGAGAAATGGCAGATTTCAGACATTTGCAGAGTTTATGGTGAAGTAAAATTAATTTTTGGATTGATATCAGGATAACTGCTTTAAAAGTTAGGCACAGAAGAATCATAAGCTTTTTCAGCAGTACTATTGAGACGCATGAAGTTGAGGCTTCACTGTTTTTTTGCTGTTAGAGAATTTCTCACCACCCTTATCCACAAGCAGTATGCCCAGTTTTCACCTTTAAACAGCTATTTTCGTAAAGCTCTGGTTTATAGTGACTGCTCAGTGTTTCTGTCCAAAGCCTTACTAGACATGTTTTGGATATATACATTATCTTTGGAAGTTACAGTATAGTTGTCTGTGAAGCAGACGCTTAATTCTAAATTCACACATTTAATATACTGTATATGTATGGCAAACACTTGATACCAATGCATTCAACTGCCTACTGTGAATAGCATAAAGGTAAAGGTAAAGGTTCCCCTTGACAATTTTTGTCCAGTCGTGTTCGACTCTAGGGGGCGGTGCTCATCCCCGTTTCCAAGCCATAGAGCCAGCGTTTTTGTCCGAAGACAATCTTCCGTGGTCACATGGCCAGTGCGACTTAGACACGGAACGCTGTTACCTTCCCACCGAGGTGGTCCCTATTGATCTACTTGCATTTACATGCTTTCGAACCGCTAGGTTGGCGGGAGCTGGGACAAGCAACGGGAACTCACTCCGTCGCGTGGATTCGATCTTACGACTGCTTGGTCTTCTGACCCTGCAGCACAGGCTTCTGCGGTTTAGCCCGCAGTGCCACCACGCCCCTTGTGAATAGCATAGGAATCTTTAAAATGAACCCGTTCCCTGAAGACGGAAGTGATGCAATAGCTGAAATTCTCTTCCTCAACTGTGGAGTATAATACATGATTTCATCAGCCATACTGCTTTTTTGGGATTGGGGAATAAAACTTCTGATTCCCTCAAAGATTCTGAAGCTCCCTTGGAATCCCTTACATTGGCTAGAAATTTGGGGTGGAGATTGGAAATGTTTATAATAAAAACGCTAAGATTGAGTATGCCATTAGCCTTATATGGACAAAATTGTGCAGCAGGATTTCAGATGGATGTCTAAAATGCTTCAATCTGTTCTGATGCCTCAAAATGTCTCCATCTCATACACCAAGATGGCTATCTAGCAACTTTCCGAGAAGCAATTCTTAAACCTCTATCAGTAAAAATGGCAAAAAGGCTCACCTTACCTTAAAGACTAACAAAAATATAGGGCATGTCGTGCATCCTTTGCACTCCAGCACCACATGTTAATCAACAAATGCTTGTGCAATAACAAATAATAGATTTATTATGGCAAAGGCCTTAAGACTAGTCACAATAAAAAAATGTATCTTCAATTTGCCTCTCAGTTGAAAGGTTGATAAAAGAATTAACATGAAGACAAGTGATTTCCTGCCAATTGCAAACAATGCTGTGGAGGATAACGACTAAAGTCTCCATTTATCAAATGGGAGATTGCAGCCATTTCAGAAGTAGGGAAAACAGGATATTTACTTCAACTGCTGCCTCAAGACTTCCCGTTTCCTCAAGCTTCTTAGTAATACCCCAAACAACTTTTTCATCTTGTTTGCAGGGTGCCGGGGTTATTATACACAAGCAGAACACCTCATTTATGATACGGAAGAGGAAGAAGGCAAGAGACTAGACACTGAGAACAGCAGAGAACAGGAAGTGTGATGAATGAGTTGTTCTTCCCCTGACTACCCAAAGGCCTGTTCAATTGTTAGTTTTCTACAAGGCAGCATATAATCGGAGTTTCCAGTTATGCTAGAGAAAGCTGTCTCAGTTCACACACTTACTTCAGGATGAAACAAACACTTGGACAGGGCTTTAATCAATATTGGATTTGGCAGGGATGCTGCACGGTTTTCCTGGGCTTACTCTTGTGTAACATGCAAAAAAAAAAATCAAAATTAAAAATATGAGTGTATTTCCAGGAAATCCATGCTGAATATGAAGCAGGACAAATAATTATTTTAGATTTATTCTTTATTTCAGAGTGCACTGTGGGTGTTATGGCCTTGATTTTTGAAATGTTTGTGTTCCTTCTGCACGACTCCCTGCTGTAGTGTCCAGTATGATGAAGACCCACGCAGGGTCGAAAGATAGGTTATATATTTTTTTCATGGCATATTGGAGCTTTCGGCAAGCTGCACAGTCTCAGAGGGCCCCTGGAAGAATGGAATGGTAAACCTAGAAAACAAGTGTCAGAATCAACTTGATGGCATGTGATTCATATGCTCTTGTTGTGTGCTGTCATGTGGTCCCTAAATTATAACAACTCTGAATGAGCTATCTTTAAAATTTCCTGTCTTCAACAGTCCTGCTCAGCTCCTGTATGTTCAAGACTATGTGGAAGTTGAATAATGGCAACTGGACTTCTTGTTAGGTTGAAACGTTTCACTACTCATCCAAGTAGCTTCTTCAGTCGGAAGAAGCTACTTGGATGAGTAGCGAAGCGTTTCAACAAACAAGAAAGAAGTCCGATTGCCATGACTCAACAACTTCCAGATAACCTCACCTGGATGACCGAGAATCTTCACAGATATATTCAAGACTATGACTTGCTTTATGGTATCAATCCATCTTGTTCTCCTGCTATCTTCATTTTTTTCTAGCATTATTGTCTTTTCGATATCACCTTGCCTTCTCATAATGTGCCCAAAGTAGGAAGATCTCAGTTTTGTGATTTTTGTCTTCCTAGATAGGTCAGGTTTTATTTGCTTTTTATTTTTATTTTATTCACTTGTTCATCTTTCTAGCTGTCCAAATATTGGTAAAGCATCATGCAGTTTTCCAAATGAATTATTTTTTTTCCTGTCACTGTCCATCTTTCACACCTGTACATGGTAATACAAGAATGTATGTGATCTCAGCCTTGGTCTCCAGTGACACATTCTTACATTTGATAATTTTTTAAATAATTCCTTCATTGTTGCCCTTTCCCAGTCTCAATCTTCTGATTTCTGACTGCAGTCTCCATTTGGACTGATGACTGTACCATGGTATGCAAAATCTCTAAGTTTCAATTTCTTCATTGTCAGTGCTAAAGTTCTGCAGTTTTTGTGTAGTCATTATTTTTGTCTTCCTTACGTTCAACTGCAGTCCTGCTTTGGCACTGTCTTTCACTAAAAGTTGTTTCAAATCTTTGCTGCTTCCTGCCAGTAATATGATGTCATCTCCATATCTAAAATTATTGATGGTTCTTCCAACAATTTTCACTCCTTCATCTGAATCTACGGCACCTTTCCATATGATTTCTTCTGTGTATAGATTGAACAGATAGGAAGATAAAATGCACACATGTCTGGCAACCTTGCCTATAAGAAACTATTCTGTTTCTCTGTATTCTGTCCTAACGGTAGCTTTTACAGACCACTGGTTACTTACCCATTTTTTAAAGAACAATTCGTAGCTTCTCATGATCCACATTGTGAAAGGCTGCAATCTATAAAGCATCAATTGATCTTCTGAAATTTTTTTGTGTGCTTCAGTGGCCAGCAGATATTTGCAATAAGATCTTGAGTA